GCGCTGGTACCGCAGCCTGCAGGGTCACGTGATCCGACTGAACAACACAGTGCAAGACATCAACGACCGATTGGACAAGTAGGGAGAGGAGGCGGGGCCAGGGTGTGACGTCACCAACGTCCATGGCACAGGTGCTCACGTGAGTGGGCGGGGTCAGAACTTGAGTGGGCGGGGTCAGAGCGTGTGTGGGCGGGGTCAGAACTTGGGTGGGCGGGGTCAGAACGTGTGTCTGTGAGACACGCCCAGGGGGTGGTACAGTGGGTGGGGCTGTGGGCGTGCCGTGATGTGTGATAGAGGAGGTAGCTATGTCCCAGACCTGGCAGTCCGGACAGAAAAGGGAGGCGGGCTGAGGTGAGCGTGTCGGGGCTGTGTGAAAGTGCACGCTAGGACTTTGCTCACCAGGGGATGAAGACAGTGTCTGAGAACCTGCTACAGACGAGTACACACATACGACTACAGGACCGTGTGGTATACATACGACTACAGGACCGTGTGGTATACATACGACTACAGGACCGTGTGGTATAGAGCAGAGGTCCTCCGTACCCGATACCTCGGTATTGTTAGTGTGGTATCGTGAGTGCGAGTGGACACACGATACCGTCGACCGTAAGTGGCCGTGCCGTGATGTAAGAGAGACAAGAGGTGACTCGCACACCACGCATGTACTCACGCTACCAGGAGGTGACTCGCACACCACGCATGTACTCACGCTACCAGGAGGTGATTCGCACACCACGCATGTACTCACGCTACCAGGAGGTGAGCCATGTGCCCCGGATGTACTCACGCTATCAGGAGGTGACTCACACACCACGCATGTACTCACGCTACCATCGCCCCTCACAGCCCGTGGAGGACTGTGGTCTGCGTCAGAGGGACAAGGGAGTACCGGAAGTTGTAGATGGCAATGTCTTCCCAGGCGCTCATCGGTGTCTGCCTCGGGACGCTTCACACAGAATACGTCGCTTTTGATTCGAAAAAAGATGAGAAAGACCGGCTGCCCAACACAAACGAGGTGTGTATCCCACACAGAGGTGGGGGCGGCCATTGGTGCAGACTGTTGTGACGTGGGGCGGGCGGGGGTGGTGAGTGGTGGGGGGCGGGGTTTTTGCGTCATGTTTGAGCACTGTGGAACAGTGCCGGTTTTTGGAGGTTTCGTATCTTGAGCTGGAGTGAGTGTGGGGAGGTGAAGGTCACGCATTGAGGAGATGTCAAGGTCACACAGTGTGGGGATGTCAAGGTCACAAAGTGAGAAGATGTCAAGGTCACACAGTGGAGGGATGTCAAGGTCACGCATTGAGGAGATGTCAAGGTCACACGGTGCGGGGATGTCAAGGTCACAAAGTGAGAAGATGTCAAGGTCACAAAGTGAGAAGATGTCAAGGTCACAGAGTGAGGAGATGTCAAGGTCACAGAGTCGGTTGCACAAGTGAGGGCGGTGTGTGAGGTCTCCCTGTTGCGGTGTGACCTCTGGTCTTGTGGGCTGGACGGATGGTCCATATGGCACGCTGGTCACTGGCCGAGTGACGTCACACCGGTCAGACAGGTCAGACGCGGGAGGAGGAAGTAGCAGGAGCAGACCACCGTCGTCTTGGTCACCGGGTGAGGCCAGAGTTCGGCGGGAAACATCCGCTCTGACTTGTGGGGCGGGAACCCCTTCCTTGTGGTCGTCTGAGAGAGGAAGCCCTTCCTTGTGGTCGTCTGTGAGAGGAGCGCTGTCACGTGGTGTATCTGTACACGTGTCACGTGGTGTGTCTGTACACGTGTCACGTGGTGTGTCTGTACACGTGTCACGTGGTGTGTCTGTACTTGTGAGGTCACGTGGTATATTTGTACACGTGTTATGTGATATAACAGTACTTGTGCTGTCATGTGGTATATCCATGCTCACGACAACATCAGCTGGGCACGTCCCAACCACATTCTCACTCCGCACACGCCCCAAGGACACCCAGGTCATAGTGCTGTAACAGGTCATGAGTTGTTCCCGCCACTCCCAGGTCATTGTACCGGCTGGTCTGCTCCTACTTCTGACCACAGGACTTGGCGCCTGTCTCTGGTGGCTGGCGGCTGTCTCCTGCTCCTCCCTGGTGGAACCGGCGCGGGAAACAATTGGGTCATCGTCTGACGTCATCGTGTGCCTCCACACCGTCGGGTCACGCGACGTGACGTGTGAGGAAGAGCGTGGCGTGATTCAGACACCGGTTATCACGTGGCCCGGCACACAGACACACGGGCAGCGTGGCTTAGTGAGGCTAGTGTCACTCCAGTCACAGTCATGGCGCACGTCACGGGAACATGTCGTCACAGTAACAAACGACGG